AATAAATAAAAACGTTGAAAAAAAAAAATTAAAAAAAAAAAAACCCCAAAGTCAGATCTAATGTATTTTATTCCCTCAAACACTATGCAAAGAAATATTTAAATACCTAAAATGCTCTTGCCCCTTAAGAGACAGTACATAAAGTTTTTCTCCTGGTTGTAGGCCTCTGTAGTTCATGAATGAACACAGCCTTAAAAACTAAGTTAGTGCCACGGCTAGTTTTTAGCTCAGACAGGCCTGGAATGTTTTCTGTCCACACCCAGAAACAGAAACTGAAGAAACTTATGAGACTTTTGTTACATAACTAAAAAAAAAAAAAAAAAATCTATCTATCTATCTATATATATATATGCAGAAAATTAATTTTTTTTCATCTCATGAAAGGAACTTCTCTAGTGGTTAATCTTTAAGATTCTTTTCTCACTTCTGTACCCCAAGTATTTCACATACTCTCATGGATCCCAGATAGGAAATTAAAAAAAAAAAATCGGTTGTAATTTAGAAAAAAGAACAAAAGGGGAAATATTGGCTTTCGAATAGACAACTTTTGGGGCCTTCTTGTGAAATATCAGATAAGAACCTGAGCTAGAAGGCACTCAGGTGCTTCCTGCTAAAATTCACACACGGAAATTCTCCATGGACTCACACTATAGGGATAAGGAGGAAATGGACAAATTTAAAGACTATTTCCCCAACTCTGAAGATGATTAATGTGGTACAAAATTCCCTAAAATTCACTGGCAGAGCTAGTCTGTAGCTATTGAGGTCAGGCTCCGTGGAATGCCAGATTAGCCCTGCAGGACCCGAAGTCACAGCCCTGGAGTTTCAAAGTGATTCTCCATCTCCTAACTGGGGATTAGGGAAACCATCTCTGACTGTTTGACATGATTTAAACTGGTACCTAAACCAATTCCAAGCACTTGATAGCAAACGAGCCATGCATCTGCCTTTCTTTTGTGGTTTTGGTTGGAAAGGATCTCTCTAGGGGAGGAGGAGGTAAGAACTAGCTCCTGATTCTTCCAAGTGGTGGAAGAAGCCAGCAATGTGTACCGGCTACACCTGCCAAGGGAGCGCGGATGAATAATAAAAACACAATGTAGCTCCCGCGGATGAATAATAAAAACACCATGTAGCTCCCTCGCATGGAGTGCTCACTCGGCGTGTGTTAGCAGTAAGGTACAGCTCCAAACGCTTTTCACACAGTAACAGCCCTTACTACAACCTTAAGAGGCAGCACTAGTGTGACTGTGCCCATTTAACAGATTATAAAACTGAGGCTTAGAGACAGGGGGCCTGCCCCAAATCACACTGCTAGCATAGAAGAGGGCTAAGATTTAAACCCTGGCAGTGTGGCTCCAGAAAAGAATAAGCTGCGGGGTGCTGAGGGCAGAAGGATATACTCTGTACCAGCACTGTCCAACAGAATTTCCCGGGATTATGGAAATGTTTGCTATCTGTGCTGTCCAAGGCAGGAGCCACTAGCCACGTGGGAAACTGACTAGTAAGACTGAGCAACTGAAGTTTTCATTCGACGGATCTTTAATTAATTTAAACTGATATGTAAATAGTCACAGGTGAGTTGTGGCTTCTGTGTTAGCACAGGTCACATATACTGGAGAAGGAGTCCACTCTGATGACCCATGGTGGGAATACGTATAACAAGAGTGGTATCCCTGTGGTATACCTGTCCCCTCAGGTACCAGTCAACCACCACTCTCTTCAGATGGCTTCCTGAGCCACCTCCTAGGGTTGTAGATTATACTCTGCACAGAGGCGGCAACTGAGGGCTGAGAGCCAGCCCAAGCACTCTCTGCTGCCGGCTTTGGCAAGATGCTGCATCGGCCCAGAGGAAGGGAAACGCTTCAACCCAGAGGAAGAAGAATGCTTTTTCAAAATTGGTGGGTCCAATTTTTTGTAATTTATTCACCCAGAGGGGGTGCTGGTTTTGCAGTCTGCAAGACGACTTGTTTTGTGCCAGTGCATGCCTCAAGGCACTTCCCGCTCTTCCTCTCATAGGAACTCCCAGGACAGGGGCGCCTGGGTGGCTCAGTCGGTTAAGCGTCCGACTCTTCCTTTCGGCTGAGGTCACGATCTCAGTTTCATGAGTTCGAGCCCTACGTCGGGCTCTGCACTGGCAGCGAGGAGCCCACTTGGGATTCCTCTCTCTCTCTTTCTGCCCCTCCACTGCTCTCTCTCAAAATAAATAAAT